TCCCCCTGCCCCACCCTCCTCCCACACTCCCCAGGGGCCCACACTGGCTTTCTCATGACCTCACAAGGGAAAAGTAAGGAGGCCTGGGTTGTGGCTGACTCTTCCACTGCTGGGCAGCCAGGCCAACATGTGACCTGGTCACTGTCTGGGATTCTCTGAAGCATGAAAGGCCTGTCCTGGGAGGACAGCCACTGGGTGGAGGTGGGGGCAAGGGGAGGAGCTGACGTGGCGTGAAAGGAATGCAGTTCTACCTTCTCAGACAGAGGGTACTAAAGGCCCCCGGATGCTTTTCCTGGGGGTAGGGGAGCCCAGATCACTTGTTCCTGCTCCTGGGGGCCTCTCCCCATGACAGTGGGTCAGACTTGCCACTGTTAGCTGGTATATGCTAAAGTGCTCCTGGCTTTTCTCTGTTTCTATTTTCTATCTTGACAGAAAAATTGTGATTTTCACACTGTCATGAAACCAATAGGTCCCTGACATATGTTTTTGTAATCTGTGTAGCTGATTTCCTGTACTTCTGACAGTTCTATTACATCTCTGACAGTTTCATAAAATTTTTCCTCTGGGAAGTTGAAAAGGGGCACGTGCCTCTCCCCCACCGTAACTCCCCAGTCCCCCATGCTAACTCGTGTTTGGAGATGAAGGAACAGGGTGGGCGCTTTTCTTGTTCCTGCCCCTACGCTAGCTGCCAGCCACCTCCTGGGAGGGAGGCGGGTGACGTACACAACCAACAGATATGTGAGGGAGCCCTGAATGCCAAGGACACTGAAATTTGGAGAGTGGAGAGGACCCCGGGGCCAACCTGTGTTGACTCAGGAATCCACAGGGGTAAGGGTTCTTCTGTGGGCTCCAAGTCCCAGTTGAGCTGATTCCCTCTGAGCATCCTGCCCCCACCCCCGCGCACTGCACAGCACCATGCGTAGCAGGGAGAGGGGCTACCCTGCCTCACGCGCTGATGCCTGGTGAAGTACGGGCATAATGCTGGTGAGCGGGGCCAGAGCCTTGGTGGCAGCATGTGGGGTGTGTGTGTGTGTGTGTGTGTGCTGAGTTCAAGGTGTCACATCCATGCACATTCACTCCTTGCAAGACAGTGTGCCAGGCTGTGGGTTGACAGAGTTATGGCCCCTGAGCTTAAGGGATCCCCGGGGTAGGTTTGGGTGTGTAGAATGTTACTGCACCCATGGATGGAGCACCTACGTTGTGTGGCCTGCTATCAGAGAGCTCACACTGTGAACACGTGTATCCACGTGGGAATAGATGCTGGGGACACGTTTTCATCTAACTCAGCTGGTGCTAAGGGGCAATGTCTGTCTTCGGGACAACAGGGGAATGACGCAGAATCAACGGTAGAAAAGGACGCTGGTGGGCAGGAGGATGGAGGCCAATGTCACCTGAGCTGTGGGTATTGCCTGGTCACCCTGGCCCTGTCACTGCCTTGCCTGGTGGCCTTGGGCAGATTCTATTCTGTAATCTCCAAGCCTCTGACAAAAGAGGAGGAGGTACTCCATGTTCTCCTGGAGATTGGCCATGAAGCATATATAAGGTGGCCCCAAGACCTCCAAAGAGCACCCCAGGCACCGTGAAGCCTGTGCCACATCTCAGCCTGCTCTTGAGACGTTGTTTGGGGCCTCTCAATCGACTTAGCCACTCTGATTTTCCTGTCTATGGAAAATGAGGCGTTGCCATGGCAACTGCCACATTACATGGTTCTGTACTGGCGATGCCTCTGAGATACAGAGCAGCTTCTCAAAGAGATACACTTTTCAACATGTCATGTAGAATTCTGTCCTTGTTAGGGAAAATCGCATTTCCAGCAAAATGACATGCTTCTCCCGGGCTTGCAGACCCGCGCCTCACGCCTTTCTTAAACAAAGAATTTCGTTCACTGCCTCTCTGGCCTGTGACTGGCTGCCCACCCCTCCTAAGTCCCAATCTCCTTTACATAAAATGTGACGCTGGAGAAGAGGGACTGGGTGGAGGGCTGGGCTCACCTAGCCAGGGTGGAAGTGCCCAGGGCTGGCTCTCCCCTACAGCAGAGGGACCGAGAGACCAGGTTGGGGGTGGGTGCCTTGGCCTCTGACTGAGGGATCAGCCAGCTGGGAGGGTGGCTGGCCTTGCCCTCTGATGTCCCTTGGCTTGCTTCCTAGACACTGACCTGATTTCTCAGGGTGGTATTTGGAAGAATCACGGACACCCCAGCCTTACTCCTTGGTCAGTACCACCAAAGGGCCCCAGCGAGGGGCTGAGTCCAGCGTGTAGGCCTTGTATTCAGCAGAACTGTGCCAGCTCCTTCCTTGTGTAGCGCTGTTCTAGGCACTGTGGAGAAGCCATGCATGAAGATGGGCAGTGTGCTGGGGACAATACTTGGCCTCAGCCCTACCATCCTCGGTGTCATCTTGGGTCTTATTTGTCACCTTGGGTTACTTGTCCCCTCTTGGCTTCAGATTTGCCATCTGTCCAATGAGCAGCTCAAGGTTGCATGCTCTTGGAAGAGCCTGCTCTGAGAGTCTGTCCCCTATGCTCCAGTGGGATCTCCAGGCCCCACCTCTCCTTGGAGTCCTGCCTAAAGGGTCTGGAGCCCCTCACCCAGATACCTTGACAGTTAAATTGGCCACCGGGATGTTCCAGTGCAGCCTGTGCTGACACGGGGATGAACCTCTGCTTGAGGACCTGGTTGCCTCTATTTCTGAGCTCACATCAGGGACTTCCTCTCCTTGAAGCTCTCTCTCGTACACTGGCCCTCCCTGGAAGGGTGTGTGGACCAAGCTGTTGAGTCCTCGAAGGCAAAACCTTTAATCACTGATGCTTTGAGGTGAATCAACAAATTGGCTCAGCAAGTACTTCTTGGGGACCAGTATTAAGTGAGTTAATACGTGCAAAGTTGCTTGAAGAGTGCATGGCACGTGAGAGCGATACTTCTGGCCACACTCTGGGCCAGGTGGGTGAAGGGTGTTGGGGAAGCTGAGATGATGGGCACAGACACTATCCTCAAAGACCTCTCAGTGGGGAGGGGGCATTGGTATGCACAGTCTCAGTCCAGGTGGGAAGTGTGGTGTTCAAAGTGGCCTGGTCCTGGGCTGGGGGAGCCCCTCAGGCTGAGGGCAGCTCTTGCTTGCTGGCTGACTTCCTAGGACACTTTCATTATTTCCTGTTAGAATGGCCTAAGAACTGAGATGCTCTGCAGGAGTTAATCCCACAGCTCACATTGGCCTCTATCCAGGAAGTGAACTTGGGGAAGTTTTCTCCCTCTGCCTTCCCCAAGGCAGTCACATTGTTCCTGGAAAGAGGTTGGCGGGAGAGGCTTTGTAAGTCCCCGGGACTCCACGTGGGTGGTGGGGGACCCCAGGCCAGCCTCCTTTCACAGGCTGGTCACCTAGGGGCTTGTCACTCCTGGACAGGCTAGTCAGCAGCTGTCTTTCTGCCAAGGGCCACAGGTAACCTCTGGAGTGGTGTGTTGGGTTGGCACCAGACATTGGAGCAATTAAGAAATTGCAAGGTTTGCATCAGACACAGAGAAATCAGCCTTTTCCCCAGTCCAAGAGGGAAGCCTTATATTAGGAATTCAGGGTCCTCTTGCCTTGAAACCAGTGATGTTCAAAGTGTGGTCCACAGAGTGCTGGTCTGCAAACTGTTAATGGTCCACAAAGAAGGAAGGAGCTCGCATTAGTGTATAAAGCAAATACAACACTAAGCACAGGTTTAATGCAGCTGATCATCTCTCTCTCTATAAGATTCTGTGGTAGGACTTTCTCAATGAAGGAAGCAGTGCCTGGTTTTAGATTCTGGTGCAAGCTTGGAATCTCACTACAGACAAACCCTCTGAGTCTCTCCTTGACACCATCCATTGTGAGACAGGACCTGCCACTGTGTCGCTTCAAGCCAATATCACCTGTTTCTTGGCCTCCAGGAGCCTCTCACTGGGTCTCCCTCCATTCAGGTTTACCTTCCTGCAGTCTAATGCATCCTCCACCCTGGGAAAACAGAATGAGTTTCCCCAGTGCAACCCTGGTCATGCCACTTCCTGCTGAACACTTTCCCATGGGTCTCTATTGCTTATAGAATAGAGCCCAAGTTCCACCACGTGGTAAAAGGGGCCTGCACCCTCCAGCTCCTGTTGCCTCTCCTGCCTCCCTCTTACCAACTGTACTTTTGTCATCTGGCCACAGAATTTCTTTCAGTTCTCCAAACATACCAAGTTTTCTCTCACTTCTATGCCTTTGCCCAAGCTGTTGCTTCTGTCTGGAATGCGGTTCTCCTGTCCTTTGGCCTGGCTCACTGTGAAGTCCTCTTCCTTCTTCATCAGGGAAGTCATCCGTGAGCCTTTCCTCATCCAAGCGTCAGCAGACCACCTGGGTTTATTAGGTTGGCCTCGGCTGTACGGCAGCGGCTGCTTACTGCTCCCAGACATCCTTCCTTTCTTTCTGATCAATGGGATCTCTCCATTTGGCTAAGCTCATGGCTACGCAGAATAAATATCATTCCCAATGTCTCTTGCAGCCAGATCTAGCCATGTCACTAAATTCTAGTCAATGAGACATAAACAGAAGAGCTTCTGGGAAGCGTTTTTTAAAGGATGAGTGCATTCTTCTTCTACCTCTCCTCTTCCTTCATGACGGCTGGAATGTAAACATGATGCCTGGAGCTTGGGCAGCCATCTTTGATCCATGTGAGTGGAAGTCACATGCTAAGAATAGCAGGCAGCAAGAGAAAAGATGCTTGGCTCTCTGATGACTTTAAAGCTTCGCTATCATTCTGGACTGTTTATCTTCAGATTTCTTTCACATGAAAGAGAAATAAGCTTCTATCTTGCATAAACCACTGTGTTTGGGGGCTGTCCATTAATCACAGTCGAGTCTCATTCTAATTGATGCAGGTGCAAGTAACTGAATACCTGAAAGCAAGGAAGACTTTTTAGTTATCTCCTTAATGAGAAATCTAGAGGGGGGGCTGTTTAATGGTTGCTTCTACAGCCTTAATCACTGTCTTTGTTATTTTCTCAGCTGTTTCCTGATGGTCACAAGATGGCTTCAGTGGCTCCAGATGACACATCCTCCCACAGCAACATCCCAGGTAGATGGATGAGGCTGGCTTGGAAAGGTGAAAGAAGCACTCCTCACCCACCTGTCTTGTTCCCTTCCCAGCAGTGTCCAGGCCACCTTCCTATGGCATCTCCTTGGCCAGAACCCTAGCTGCAAGGGAGGCTGGGACAGGGAGTCTGGCTTTTCAGCCTATGTGAGTGGGAGGCAGGTAAAGATGAGTTGGGAATGGCTGGTGTCTGGATAACCCATGGTGCCTTCCACGTTGCTCCACTATGTGCTTCTGCTTTGGACCCTGCATTCAATTCTCCACCAGCTTCTCTCCAGAGCACTCTTGGTGAGGACAGCAACTGGTACCAGGGGATACTACAGTAGAGCTGTTGGGAGTGCAGTGGCTGGAGCCTGACACCTGAGTTCAGATCCTGGCTCCACTCCTCTGCTCTGGCTGAATTAACATCTCTGTACTTTGTTATTAAAAAGGGGATAATAGTTCTTACCTGCCTCAGAAGGTTGTTTGAGAATTCAATGAGTTCATATATGTGGAGCACTTAGAACACTGGTTGTCAAACTTGGCTGTGCCCTGGAATCACAAGAGTAGTTTTAAAAATTAATGGTGCCGGCCCCACCTGCAAAGAATCAGATCTAACTAGTCAGAGGAGTGGCTTGGGCTTTGGAATTTTTAAAGGCTCCCTAGTCAATTCTAATATGCAGCTAAGAACACTCCTGGCACAGAGTAAGATTCTAGTAACCTTAGCTCTGATTGGTTTGTTCATCATTGTGAGGCCCAGCATATAGTAGGCCCTCAGGAGTTGTTTGTTGAATGAATGAATGAAAGTTTTGAAGCAAGACGAGGTAGTTGACGTCTTTTGGTCCAGCCCTCTGGCCTTGGGATTGCTGCTCTGCCCCTTCAGTCTGGCTTCCTTTGTAACCTCTCTGGAGGGCTCCAGGGCTGCCTGTTCCATCTTTCTCCAGGACAGACCCCCAAGGTTCTGTGATGACCAGCATCTCCTCCCTCATCCAGAGTCCACAATGAGGATGAAAAAAACCCCACGAGAGGAAGACTCGCAGAACCCACACAGAAGCTTTGTGCCTGGGCTGCCTGGTGCTTGCATCTCTCATCTGGCCAGCAGCTTTGGTCCCAGCTGCGGCGCTCCTGGGGATGCGTCATAGGCCTTAAAGGGGTCGCTGCCTGTTTTTGGGGTGCCATCCTGGCTGGGTGGTATGGATTTCCGCTGTAAACTCAGTCCATCTGGGAGAAGCCCAGGTGCCATGTTTTGAACAGCTCTGAAACTTAAAGCTCAGAAGGCTTTGAAATGCAAATATTTTGAAGGAAACATAAGGTAAACAGGAGTGCTTATTTCCCCCTGATGAAAACAATATGCTGTTTGCTCTGAAATGTAAATAGGACCTAGATCGCTCTTAAAGAAAGCCATGTCTCATATTTTTAGGTCCAGGATAATAGTATTTCTAAAAATACGTGTATCCCACAGCCTTCCTACCCGCCTGAATCCACACTCTCTTTTTGTCCCGGATGCCCCTCATTCCAGGCATTGCTATCTGCTCCTGTAACTGTTCTAAACCACCTCCCCTCCTCCCAATCTGCAGCGCCACACTTCTCCTCCTCCACCCTCATCTAATTTTTCCAATACTCTCTGAGAGCTTGGGAGTTCCTTTTGGATAGAATTGAGGGGAAAAAAATTGTAGCCAAAGGCATTTCACTGACTTGAAAGAGATTTTATGGTGCATTGAGTTCTAATCAACTTTAATAAGTATTTAATGCAGGAAGAAGACTTTGCCCCCAGCCCCGAGGCCGGCCATGCGTGCTCGCAGCCCCCTGTTGGCCATGGGAGAAAGGACTGCTGTGGGGCCCCATGGTTTGGATGGGCATGGCGAGTGACAGCTGCAGAGAAACGAATAATTAGCTATTTCAACCCCTGATAATGAGTAGCTGTATGATCCTTCTTGGAACCATTAGGAGCATCTATCTTATTGATGATCCCACCAGACAGCCGTGGGCCCTGGTGCCCAGCTCCTCTCTGATGGGTTCACACATCTCATCTGTGCACTGAAGGGCAGAGATGGGAGGTAGTCATTTCTCATCCCTCTTAGTAGTGGGGCTGGGCTTTCTGGGCTGGCAGCACCCCTGTGGCTGACCTGGAAAGCCCCGCCCCCCCCCCCCATGCCTCTGTACCATTCATATTGAGCAGTCTTTCTCTGCCCAGCAAAGGAGAAGACTAAACACACCCTTTGTGTGTGCCCATCCTGGGCCACATGTGCCAGGAGGTGCTGTCACCTGCAGTGTCCTTTGTTCTTCCCTCCTGATACTCACCTGGAAAGTGCTATTGTCTTCGCAATTGTATAGAAACTCGCTAAGATGGTTCAGAGCCTTATCCGAGTTCACACAGCTAGTAATGGCCAGCTCAAGGACTGGAATGCCTGTCTTTTTGGTGGGTCTTCCTGCTGCCCCATATTGTCCTATGAATGAATTCAAGGAAATAGCATCCCTTCATGGCTGAGTTTTCTCAAAGTCAATGCCCAAGCCCGGAATTGCAGACTGACTCCATTGGCCACATCTCATTCACAGATATGAATCTGTTTGACTTGCACATCTTAATAATTGGGAAATGTCGCATACAATTCCAGATTTACTGAAAAATGGGAAGAATTGGGCATACTTGAAATTTGTTGTCCCACATGGCTAGATCTCAGGGCACCTGCTCTTTTTAGGCAATTTGCCACAGGCCTCACTACTCCCTTTTGTCCATATCTGGCATGATTTGTTCATTTCTATTACCTGTCTGTCCCCATAAGTGTTTGAGTTTGAGTGAGTCATTTACACCTATGATTTTCAAACCTTATTTTACCAGCACATCCCTTTTCTCAAACTATAAAGCACATGATAGGGAATATCATGGTTAAGGTTTGCTGGACTTGGGATCCCACTCACGTGGACCCCACCTTCTACCCCAGTAGTCTTTTAAAGTTTGTGGAAACCCTAGGTCCCACAGGACACAGTTTGAAAATGATTTTCATGAGAACACATAAGTGGCAACATCTCAAAGATCCACGGAACTCAACAGAAGATGCCCTATCTGGACCCAACACCTTGGATGTCAAGAACAGCAGCGTCTGAGAAGCCCTTAGAGACCATCAGAGAAGCCTCGAGAGGACAACTGACTTGCTCATGCTCACATAGAAAATGAATGTCTGAGTCAGGGCTTAAACTTGCAGTTTGGATCTGCTTGTCCTTCCTAATTTTTTTTCTAGAAGAACCTTAAGTGGGAAGCTACTGATGTGTGCCTAAACTTCTAACACCCTCAGCCTCAGCCTCGTGCCAGCACTCTATCTTCCATCCTGGACTCACAAACTTATTGGAAAATGAAGAATAACTCCCACTCATCAAGCAAATAGAATTTGTTGTTGTGGGTGGTAGCTCCTAAACTGTGGTTTGACCCAAATTTGGAGCATCTTTAAAATGCGGAGCATCTTCTTGGTATATTTACTTGACTGGTGGTAATTTAAAAATTACTTTTATGTGAAACGTGTCTACATAGACATATAAAACAGAAGAGAATGAAACATTCACCTGAGTCTTTAAAATAAAACATGAAGACTTGAAAGGGATTTAGGGGTTATAAAGTTGGCTTAGATAACATCTCCTCCTGCTCTGGGTCAGGGGTCGCAAACTTTTCCTGTAAAGGGTGAAATAGTAAATATTTTAGGCTTAGCAGGCTATACAGTCTCTGTTGCAACTACTCAGCTCTGCTATAGTAACTTGAAAGCAGCCATAGACAACATGTAAAGTAGTGGGCATTGCTGGCTGTGTTCCAATAAAACTTTATTTACAAAAACAGGTGGTGGGCTGGATTTGGCCTGGGTCAAAGATGCTGATCCTTGCTCTCAGTCTCTGTGGGCCACTCTATTGTGTCTTTAGAGGTTCCTTACTAGACAAATCTGAGAGCACTGTATGGGGTGGAGTTGGAATTTTCCAACACCAACTTGCTGACACCAACTGAGTGTCCTATAATTCAACTCAATTCTGAGACTAACTACCTGGAGCTAGCACAGGCCCCATAAGTTAAACATTTGGTCTCACAAGGCTGCCCCCAACTTCAGACACCACAAATCTCAGGTATCCCCAAGCTACCTGCCTCTGCTCAGCCAACTACAAATTCGGGATCCCATGACCTCCTCGCTCTCAATAATTTGTTAGAACGACTCCCAGAACTCAGGAGAGTGCTATACTTACAATTATCATTTTATTACAAGGATACAAGTGAACAGCCAGATGAAGAGATATATAGGGTGAGTCTCTGGTGGGGGTTGCAGGCTTCCAAGCTCTTTCCTCAAGGAATCCTGTACGCCACCCTCCCTGCACATTAGTATGTTCACCAACCTGGAGGCTGTCTGAGCTGTGTTTTCTAGTTTTTGTTTGGGGTTGCATTCAGTAGGCACAATTGATTAAATCATTGGCTAGGTGATTGAACTCAATGTCCAGCTCCCCTTCTTCTCCCTGGAAGTTGAGATGAGGCTGAAAGTTCCAGCCTTCTAATCACATGCTTTCTGGTGTGGACAGCATCTCTCTTGAAACTATCTAAGAGCCCACTATGGGTTATCTCATTAGCATAAACTCAGGTATGAACGAAAGGTGTTTGTTATGAATAACAAAAGACGCTCCTATGATTTAGGAAATCTAAGAGTTTTTGAAGCTCTGTGCCAGGAATGCAGACAAAGACCAAATATGTTTTTTTACTATACCACGGTTGACAAATGAGTTTCACTTCATTTGTCAGCTCCAGTTGACTGGTCATGCCTATAGATCCTGAGGCTGGGTCCAAGCTCATTGGAGAAAACATCCATTGGTGATGTCTGCCACAGGTGATATAGGGGACGTCAGTGGCATGTGTGCTGTGTATTAGCCATTTCTAGAGAAGGGAAATCTCTTTATCTGCATCTGTTTTTCAAATAGCGTCTTCTTATCTTCTTGAATTTTGCCCTCTAACCTGTGATCGAGCTACATAACTGCTCAAAGGGTCTATGCTGAACTCATGCTAATTGTTGGAGGCAAAGGTGGGAGAAAAGGACCCAGTAAAGAGAATCTTATTTTCCCAACTCAATTTTAAGTTTCAGGAAAGTGGTATTCCCATCACCATGTGTGAGAACTTCAAGGTGAGGATCATGAGGCGGCCTTGCCCAGTCTAGCCTTTAATTAGGTGAAGAGTTCGGGAGGCTAGAGGTGGGGGATCACAAGGCGGTGAGAACATATAGAGATCAACTTCCTGAGGAGGGGGCGGCCATCAGGTGCCCGAGTGACAGGCGGGATGGGGCAGGTGGAGGACAGAGGAGAGGACATGTCAGGAAGCAGGGTGTCAAGTGGGGCATGAGTGAGTGATGGAGGAGCTGTGGGGACGTAGGGCTGAGGGGCCTGGTCTGGTGCTTGACTCTGGAGGGCCTGGGGATCCAGACAGAGTGGGCAGCAGTGGGAGCCATTGTTGTCCCTGAGCAGGAGAGTGACATGGGAAATCTGTATTTTAAGCAGCCAAGCTGAGCAGGACAAAGAAGGAGGTAGAGTTCCTGTTGATAAATAAATGACAAGCAATAGGATATATTGGAGTATATGAGGAAGCCATTTGGTGTAAAACTAATTCGGCCTGAATTTATGTTTTTCCAAAAGGGCCTGACATGGCCGTTGAGCATGCATTGTATATTTGCTTTAAGCATTTACTATGTCCGAAAGACAAGAACAATGCCTTAAAGATAAGGATGTAGCTTCCCCTACATGGGCATTTCCTTAAGGATAAGCATCTCTCCCTAATCTAAGGGTTGATTGCTGACGTGCTGCACTC